GACTCCACTAACTCCCTATCCCCCAGTGGATCCAGTTCAAGATCTGTGTCATAACCTTTAAATCTCTCGATTGTCTTGCCCCACCCTACCTCTGCGACCTTCTCAAACTGTACAAACCCAGCTATTCCCTCCATTCAGCAGGCATGAGCTTGCTTCATGTCCTCTGCCCCACCAGCCCCACCATCGGTTTGTCCCAGTGTTCTGGCCAGCAATCCCCCAAAATAAAATGACTGTTTGTGGGACATTGCTGTGCACAAATTGGCTGTCGCGTTTGACCATAAAAAACACGGTCACATCACTGTACAGTATATCCTGTAAGCACTTTGAAACATTTTTAATGGTGTGATAATGCTCTGTATTAAATACAAAAATTATTATGCATGAAAATTATAAGCGATAAGAAGTAAAAAACATTGCCACAAATAACTGTCTTTAACTGCCATTTATAGAGATGAAAAATATAGTTGAAATTTAATCTATCTAATTTGCTCTGAAAAATTAGTTTTGAATTCAGAAAAGTTGTTTTCATGAGTCATTCAACATATACCCATAAAATGTATGTTTGGCTACAAAAATGCTGTTACTCCACTTTATAGTGAATCCTGTCAATCATTCTGAGACTTGAAAGGTGCTCTATCAAATGCAAAGATTTTTAAAATTATTATGATATATTATGATATATGGGATATATGACTTGGCTACAAAAGATTGAAGATCTTCAGGATTCCATACATTAGATAGTTTTGGATATTAGAAGACTGATAATGACACATTCATTGGTGAGTGAAAGCTTCAACAAAGTAATGCAATTGAGTCAGATAGATATGATAACTACTGATTTTGAGAATCTTTGAATTTGCCTGAGTGTATTTGTGTGTTGGGAGCTGAGTGTGAAAAAGCAAATTAGGATGCTCCCATAACAACTGAACTGCAGCAGTGGTTACAGAGGAAGACTGCAATATACAGTGTGCTATTTCCCAACCATTGACATTTTGTGAACATCTGCGGCAGTCTGACACTATGTGTTTAAGGGCACATGCTCTCTTTCATCTCTGCGCTGTGGGTGATGGCATTCATGCAATATGTGCATAGGTAAACCACTGAAAAGATGTTAAGACAACTCCCTTTCAACTGCTCAGTTCATCTCCAATTCCCAGAGATTATAAAATAAAGCAAGAAACTATTAACATTTGTTTTGTCTTCTTTTTCATTCTGGGGCAGGTTTAAAACAGCCCTGGAAAAACTACATAATCATTCGGTTCTGTTTCAGTGCAGCATGCCTACAAAATACACAGTCACTTTACATTATTGTAAATCCTGTTGAAAGCTTTGAGACATCCCACCCAACATGAAAGGAACAATATCAAATGAATTGATTCCTGTAAATTTGTTTAATTGGTTCTTCGTATCTTTGAAAAGTATTGGATCATCAAGCTTCAGGTCACCCAGGATAAAAGTACAAATTGTCACTGCAAACTCCTTTGACTGTCAATCTGCTTGTTTTGATTAACTACTGTATATCAAAGGGAAACACTAAAATGTTTTTCTAAGACAGGAGGATTGGAATGAAATGTGTGTTCTTTTATCCATCATGAAAAAAAATCATCAGTGTTACTGCCTGCAAATATCAGAAAATCCATGGGTAATTATAGTGCATCCTTTTTGCACAACTTATGCAATGTGTAATTCAAATTATACATGACAAATTTTCTACAAAATGCTCAAATTCTGTGTAGGTTATTTTAAATTCTTCTTTGAACCTTTCAGGGTCTTTCGTTTTGATATGTGGTATTCAATGTTGATTGTTTTTCTGGAGTATACCTCTCACTAATAAATAAGTGTATAAGTGGAAAACTTTGCTCTGTGAATGTGGCATCTAAATTCATCACAAGATTGTTTGAGATGAAGTAGACCTTCGACCCATTGATCTCATGCTTCCACAATACTATTCTCCCATCACAGCATTAAGCTGTTTTTTTGAATAAGTCCAGCATCCTACTCTCAACCATCTTCCTGTTTACACCAACAATTTGCTCTTATACAGTGCCGTCACGGATGTAGCATCTGAGTGCTTAACAGTGCGGAGCCTGGCTCTGAGCCGGGGAGGGGGGAGGTGACCATAAGCACTGTCGAAAAGGATAAGGATGGTTTTAAGGCGGGACTTGAAAAAGGGGAGAGCAGGGGCAAGACGGAGATACCGAGGGAGAGTGTTCCAAAGTTTCGATGCATAGTGGCTGAAAGAGCGACCTCCAATGGTGGAGCGAAGAGCGTGAGGGACAAGCAGGAGACCGGTGCCAGTCGTGCGGAGGCGCCAGGTGGTGATCACGAGTTTTTCGGGTCTTGAAGTCGATCCGTTCAGCATGACTCTTCCAGTCATTAATTACCCACCACCTGGGCAAATAAATACTTTCTGGTGTCTGTCTTAATGTTTCCCTTTGCTACTCCAAATGTTTGTTGTCCTGTCCTACTGTCTTGAGCTATGTAAAGTCTTGGATGACACTCCAATGCAGTGCTGGGGGAGTTTTATGTTATCACAGGTGCCATTGTTTGTATGAGACATTAACCCAACATCTTGTCTGTCTGTTCTGCTGGCTGTGACACTATTAATAACAGAAAGGGATTTCTCCTGGTATCCTGGACAGATATAATTGGCTATTCAATTTATAGAAAACCAGCTTCGAAATTAAGACTGCATTTGAGAATTTGCCAAATTCTGAAAGCTCTGAAATGCAAAAAAAAAGCTAAACTAGACCCAGGTGGAATTTCTCCCCACACAGTCGTTAAGTTTATAGCAATTCCCTGTGATGGGCTTTGACACGTTTAAACTTTATTGGCGTTGTATCAAATGCGAGTATTATTGTTGTACTATAATTATGTGTGCAACAGATGTACTGTGTGTGCCAAGATTACCAGGGTGTACCATAAGTCCATTTCACAATCTTTGTGTTGATTGTACAAGTCACACAATAAATATACTTGGAGCACCACTGGAGCAAGGAAGGCTCCTTTCTGATGCAGTGTTGTTGTCCCTCAGTGAGATTAGAGTACAACATTCCTCCATGGATTATAATAAAGAAAATCTTTCAGAAGAAAAATGTTGCCTCTTTGTGACAGAAGTGAAATGTGTCTGACTAGAGTGTTTCAGTTGCGCTATGTCGTTTAGTCAGGGAGTTAAACATTATTGTGGAGGGTGTTGACACTAACAAAGAGGACGAAAAAGGTACAGTGGAGGACAACCACTGACAAACACAAGGCATAGCGAGGACAAGCGGATGTAGATATGAAAAAAACAGAAAACATTCATGATCCACTGCTTCTGGCTTCTGAAGAAGTCACATATTCAGTTCTTGTTGATATGAGATTGTTTTATATTCCAATATTCAGTGACTTTGTGCTGGAATATACACGTCAGCCATTAGAAAAGGACACACCTAATCGCCTCCCACTCAGGTTAATGCAAAACATCACATTCCTCCATTAATGAAGTTTATTCATGCAATGCAATATGTTCAATATATGTTTAAATATGTTTTATTGAATGACGTTTTTGGTCTAATCTGGATCTAATTTGCATATTTCTTAATAAGAAATGTGCAATTACCACATTTCTAAAACACTATTAAATAGAAATGAGAAATTCTACTTGGGTCTAGATTTACTCTAATTTTCACATTTCACATTTTCACAAGTTATCAAATTATTAAATACAGCCTTCAATTTTGAAGCCATTTTTCTGTCATATCTTTTAAGAATTACAGAAAATGAGCTTCAAAATTAAAAATGAATTTAACAATTTATCAAATTCTGCCTACTCTGAAATGTTATGTTAATAGAGTAAATCTAGAGACAGGTGGATTTTTACACCATTAAATGTTAAAGAATGTAGAGCACATTTAATATTTTAAAAACTCAATAAGTACACTCAGATAACCTCTGTTAAGAAATATCACAAATTAGACTTTATTACATTCACAATGAAGATTTAGAACACATATTTTCAGATAGCTGCAATAGAATAAAAAATGTTCAATGCAGAGATCATTTTCCTGTTGGAATTATTCAGTATATTTATGGTTCTAAATCTATAATTTTGTCCTTACATAATCACAATTATTTAGATTTCAGACACCCAAGTTTTTGGATTTGAAGTGGTATAATTATATTTCTCAAAGGAATTGTCTTGCACGTTGTGGTCAAAGGATGCAGATTTTCTATAATTTTTAAAATAACTCTTTTATCAAATTTTCATTGATTTCCAATACCAATTGCCTCCTCTCCATAGGATCCAGCACTGGTTTGGATTTGAAGATCTATTTATGACTTTGCCACTCAAGGAGCGAGGAGTAGGTGGGAGGGGATAAATGGGATTTGAGACTAAGCCTGCTTCAAGGTAACTTGCCTGGCAATGAAAGATCAGTTTCAAGTCAATCCTCCTTAGTAGGTTTAATAGCCCAGTTCTTTATCCAGGCAGATGTGCAGGACTCTAAGATACTGTTGCTGACAGACTAGTCAGACTAGCTTATCAGTGATATTTGAAGGATTAGAGCAGTCATTGGAATTCTTCCTGTTAACCTGTCCGCTCCCTCCGCTCAGCAGGCTCCGGCCTGCTCCATGTCCCCCACCTTCATGTCCCTCATTGACGGTCAGGCCTTCAGCCTCTCTATTCCCACTCTTTGAAACTCCATCCCACAGTCCTTCTGCCTCGCTCCCTTCCTCGCCTCCTTCAAGGCACTTCTTAAGACCCTCCTCCTACCCTCCCTGCCCTCCACCCCCCCAATCCCAACCACCTGCTCGGGTCCAAATCCATGACTGTCCAACACCTTGGGATGTCCTCCTAATGTGAAAGGCGCTATACAAATTGTTGTTAACCATGTAAGCCTTTCAAACATAGATTAGATAGTTTTCTTTTAGGAAATAACATTATGGGATATAGTACATAGGTAGTTTGAGACATATGTGCATGTGACCCCCATGAAAGTGGAAGGTGAACTAGACAGACCTTGGTCTTTTTTCGTCTAACATTTCTTATGTTCTTAAGCCAAGCGAAAGCTGAAATAGGTAGGGTAGTCCATCTGGAAAAGTAGCAGGACTAGACAATTTACTTGTTGCTACCACACCACTGCACTTTAGTTTCTATTAAGACTGGTTGGTTATACAAAAGCGTTTGGAACACATTAACTAAATAAAACAACTGCACATTCTTAATGCGAACAAACTGTTTTTCAATATGCACATTGATCATGATACAGAACAAAAAACACAATATTTTCCATTATAAAATACCATCTCTATAAGATAATCGTTTGAAGCCATACAAAATGTGCATTATTATTATTGTATGCCAGATGCAGTTCTATCAGACCAGTTGCACAGAGTGAACATGATCTGCAAGCAGCAGTAAATATTCACATTGGTTAATATTCCAAAAGTTCTATTTCTGATCTCTTTTTAGTGACGACGTACCTGAAATAAAATTTTGAAAAGTTTAGAATACAGCTATCAAATTCACTTCATTGTATCTTGACATCCTGATAGTCACAAACTCCACCACTTCTCTATGTGAGGGAGCTTATATCAATGCAAGTTGTGGTTGTCAATTATATATCTTTAAAAAAAATGCAGACCTTAACGTTTTGAGTTAAAAGGATAAATTAGCTTACTCAGTATTCAATAAACAACCCTTCCATTTGACCGAGACTGCAAAGGTACTTTATTAAATATTTTAAATACTTTATTCTGAGGCACACAACTGCAATATAGTGAATGCTGTTGTGGCAAAATCACAAAAGTTAGTTAAAATCTCAAACAAGCACACAAGCTCGGTGAATTTTTTTACCTTTTGACCTGCAGTTTTGACAATTTTGCTGAACACATGAAATCTGGTTGGTACATGGAAGATGCCACTGGTAGTCTGCCTGCAAGTTGCAGAAAAAAATGACAAACACATTAAAAACAAACAAGACTAAAATAAAACAAATAGACATTTGACGAAAATGCAATGTCACATAATTGGTTCGGATGAAGAAGATCTGATCTCACCCCTGCAAAATATCAATTCTCCCATCCTCAAACTACAACATCAAGCTGCTTTTTAAATGAGTCCAGTGTCCTGGCCTCAACCACCCTTCCTGGCAACCTGCTCTAATTGCTAGGCAGCTTCGTACTGTAGAAATTCTCATGGTTCCTGTAGAAATTTTAAAAGTTGCAACTCAGAATAAAGCAATAGATTTCTTAATTGATTCTTGAGATTTTTAAATATTTAAATACAGAGTCTGTCCAGTTACCTCAAAAGTAATCCTGATATTGTACAACTGATGTTAATTCAAAATCTGCTCATATGAAGTATTAACAAGAAGACGAAGAACAACAAATTGTATTTATATCTCACTTTTCAAGTTCGGAGGATGCCCCAAGGCAATGGACAGTTGAGAGTGTACACCTAAGCTGGGGTTGGATTCGGGAGGGATGGGGGCCAAGGGGGTGGTGGGTGGAAACATGACCGAATGCGCGCTGAAAGATTAAGGTCTTGAGACAGTCCTTGAAGGAGGCGAGGGACGGGGTGAGACAAAGGAACTCCGGAAATACTAGAATTGACAAGCAAGATATGGTAAAAGAGAAGTAGGGATCACAGCCCTACTTAAAAAAAGGATTACTTCAGGACAAAATTTTATGCTAGCCTGATGCTTGAGTGTTCATCTGATGAACATGTTCATCTACCACACATTTTTCTACAGTTAAGAGCTAAATCCACTCTGCTTAGCATTACAAACACTGGAAAGCTTCATATTCCTCTCTAGCTACCACCAGCATTAGGGCTTTGGCTTGCAGCATTAAGAGGCACCAAATAAGAGGAAACCTAGCTCCCAGTCAGGAAGAACTCCATTCTTCAAGTGGGAAGAATCCCAGCACAGTCAGTGACTGGCCTGCTACTCCAATTCCTGCTAATGAGTCGGCTTGGTTGGCCTGTCATTAACAGTGCCCTGGAGAACTGCAGATCTGCCATGTTCAGGTATAGGACTACTGAGACTGACACAGAGGATCAATAACAACAACTTTCATTTATATAGGGATTGAGGGAGAGTGTTCCAGAGTTTTGGTGTAGTGGCTAACAGCGCAGCCATCGATGGTGGAACAGAGGGCCCGAGGGACAAGCAGGAGGCTGGAACCAGTCGAGTGGAGGTAACAGCTGGTGGGTTGGGAAGTAACAACAACAACAACAAGATTCCATTTATAAAGCGCCTTTCACGTCAGGAGGACGTCCCAAGGCGCTGCACAGTTGGGTCATGACCCGAGCAGGGGGGAAATGGTCAGGGTGAGGGGAGGGAGGGAGCGAGGAGGGGGGAAATGGTCAGGGTGAGGGGAGGGAAGGGAGGGAGCGAGGAGGGGGAGGAGAGTCGAGAGGGGAGCTGAAGGCACGGTCAAAGAGAAAGGTTTTGAGACCGGCCTTGAAGGAGGAAAGGGAGGAGGCGGCGAAGGCACTGGGGGATAGAGTTCCAGAGCCTGGGGGCTGAGAGGCTGAAGGCCCGACCACCGATGGTAGGGCGGTTGGGGCGGGGGACGTGGAGCAGACCGGAGCCAGAGGAACGGAGGGTACGGGCAGGTAGGTAGGGGGATAGTAGGTTGGAGAGGTAGGAGGGAGCAAGGCCGTGAATGGCCTTGTAGGTGAGGATCAGGATCTTGAAATCGATCCTCTGGGGATGGGGAGCCAGTGGAGGCGAGCGAGGGTGGGAGTGATGTGGTCCCGAAGCCTGGTGCGGGACAGTACACGAGCTGCAGAGTTCTGAATGACCTGCAGCTTGTGGAGGGAGGTGGCGGGAAGGCCGGCGAGGAGAGAGTTCCCGTAGTCCAGCCTTGAGGTGACAAAGGCGTGAACCAGGGTTTCAGCAGCGTGAGGGGTGAGGTAATGCCGTAGTCTGGCGATGTTCCGGAGGTGATGGAAGGCGGTGCCAGTTGTGGTGCGGATGTGAGGGAGAAAGGACAGCTCAGGGTCGAACAAAACGCCGAGGTTCCTGACTGGCTTTGCGAGGTGGAGAGTGCAGCCTTGGATGCTGATGGTGTCAGCGCCTGAGGTGCGGAGGCGCTGACGTGAGCCAATCAGGAGGGCCTCGGTTTTTCGCGCGTTGAGCTGAAGAAAGTTGTCTCTCGTCCAGGACTCGATGTCGGACAGGCAGGCTGTCAGGACATCGGTGGTCGTGGAGTTGAGAGTAGAGGAGGAAAGGTAGAGTTGGGTGTCATCCGCATACATGTGGAAGTTAACTCCATGTCTGCGGATGATGTCACCAAGGGGGAGCATATAGAGGGTGAAGAGGAGGGGACCAAGGACAGAGCCCTGAGTAAGCAGGTCAGAGAGGTAGGGAGGTGCCTGGGCATGAAGGGTTCAACTTAATTCTGATATTCCATCTCCTGACATGTCACCTTGGAGCCACCTCAGGCCTAAAGAGACCAATCTTACCTTTCCCTAAGGAGACAGTATCAAAACCCGACTTTTCACTGAAACAGCAGAAGTGCTGGGAGCTAGAGCTAAGTGATGAGATGCCACACATCCATTCCTAACCTCGGAAATGCAATACATATGTGCAGATCCCATTGCGAGGTCAGCCACATCATGTAGAGATATTTATATAAATCCATATAATATATAAACAAACCGTATACTTATGTAAATGTTAAGATACAGATGGGGTGTATTTACTTTTGTATAAACAGCATTTATTTTGAATTTGATCCTATAGCAGAACTATTGCTGGTGCATGCCAAACAATACAATTGTCACACAGATTTGCACTGAAAGAAACAGCAGCTTGTACTTTCATACATTTCTTTGTAGAATGAAAGTCTAAAGAGACTTCAACACTTATGATAGAGAGAGATGAGCATGCAGAAAGGATGAAGGGATATTGACCAAAATGGGGGTGAAAAAATATTTCCAGGAGGGTTTTTGTGAAGGAAGAGAAAGAAAAAACAATTTTATTTAATCAACCTGATGTCTAACACACCATGCTTTAGTCTCCTAACCAAATGACTTAACGGTTCCACATATGTGTGGTTTCAGCTTGTCTTGCAATGGAATGCACACTCTCTCCCTGCAGACGTTCACCTAGTTTACCTAATCCCAGAGCATTTAGGTGTAAGTTGGTAAGAGCCAAGTTCGGTATCCCAGAATGTATGTTGGTGTACTGCTGACATTTAACCAAAGAAACAAGACATAGAAGTTTTAAAAAGAGTGTTCCGGAGGACAAAAGCATAGGAAATGATGACTTGATCACTGAGAGTGGGATAGTTTAATTTGCCTATATTGACAAAATTGAGCTACTTGAATTAAAACAAGAAAACACACTCCTTGTGCCATTTGTTTGTCAAGGAAAAAAGAAATCCAATGACATTCAATATTAACTGCACATTTAATCTTTTGAGGTCTGGATTTATTTGCAAGCATACTTATAGTTGAATAGAAATAGCTATTAAGTGGTGTTGCAGAGTGTATGGTTTTGTTGAATGGCACAAACTAAATCATCACTTACTGGGTGGTGCTGATAGTTGCTGCTTCCTGTCTGTGTCATCAGCATTGCTGGCCTTGGGTAGTGAACTGGGAATGCAAAAGGCTGCTGATATTTAAGGCATGTTGCACAAGCTGGATATGCCAGAGGTGGGAAAGGGCTAGCAGATGGCTGTGAAAATCCTGCGACCTGGCCAAAAAAAAAACCCCACATTATTTGGAAATATTCAATTTAAACCGTGAATACAATATCTTTCCCTCAGAAACAGTATATTTATACCATTTCGCAAGATGTTAAAGAAAATACAACTGAAACATTGGACAGCAAATAGCTTTTCTCCCCCTCTATTGTATTTCTATTTATTATTTGTTTATTATTATTTCTATGTATGTGTTTTACTATTTCTTCCCCGACTCTGTCTGAACAGGTCGATAGGATCTTGATTTCATGTCTCCTCTGATGGACAACACCTTCAACAGTGCAGATACACCCCCATCACTGGATTGAAGTATAACACTTTAAATCCTGTCGTCAAAATCCTGACGTACCCAAGCCCAGCAATGTTGATGACGCACACAGGAAGCAGCAGTGGTGATTTAGTTTGTACCAGTCAACAAAACCATATACTACACTACCGGAGACAACTTAACAGCTATTTCTGTTGAAGTATAATCATTGATAAATAGCTTGTCAAGTGACCTGAACATATGGATGTGTTCTAAGGTAAGTACTAACTGGGAGTAAAACTGTACTTTCTTCTGCTCTTATTAATGCATTCTTTGGCAGGAGCACTGTCTCCAATACCACACACTAACACATCCAGAGATGAGTTTCCTCACTGCCTCTAGAACCCACAATGCTGGAAGGCAAGATAAACGGTGCCTCCCAGTGGTCTCAATACACTGAAAGCCATTATTTTCTGGCTGTGACTTTCGTCAGTCGGTAACACAAACAGGACAAATCGAGAGCATCAACAGCCAGCAGCCTGCTGCAAAGCTTTTTCTATTTGAATTACTACTGCAGTAATCCACAGCATAACCACAGAATTTAACAAGCGCATGACTGGAGGGGGTGAGCATTTCAAGTCTGGTCAGCTTTCCAGAGGCAGGAAATTAACTGACATTCAAGATTACGGTGGGACAGCAAAGCCATTGAACACTTGCCAATTAAGCTGCAACAGCTCCAGCTCAGGATGCAAGTTCATAATGACTAGTGAAGAGATATTCTTTTCTAAAATTAATTCTCCAGAGTTATGCTGACTTTAAAAGTCCTCATGGAAGGCTGGTCCTCTAGAACAGTGCTCGATATTCCCACATTGCAATGAGATCAGAAATATGCTTATGATTTTACTCTCTTTATCCTCACAGAAGAGGAATTGTACCCTTTAGAAACCAAATCAAAACCTTTCTCTGGCATTCATGCACACAGGATTCTCTCTGGTATTGTCCCGCCCCTCTCCCCATGTTATCTTTGTTATTAGGAACTTACTTAAAAAAGGAACCATGATGCAGCAATAAGGAAACGGTTATTAATGAGAGCTGGAGAGACTGAGCCCCACTTCCTCACAGTTCCAGTAACTCGCAGCTATTCACAGCACTGACTTTGAATTGAGAATTTAATCTGAGTGTCACCCGGTTCCATGGTACTGCTGTTCCCACACCCTCACACTACCAGTTAACAAATAGGGGAATAAATAGGGACATTGCTAACATAATGGAAGAAATATGAATTATGCTGTTTAACGTTAGTGCTTTTATTACAATAAAGTAGTTTCACTCTTAAAAATTACTATTTGAAAGAGAAGCGAGTTTCTCCCAGTATGCTGGCCAACAATCCCACATACAAAATTGAGTCATTCACATCATGCCTGTTTGTGGGGCATTGCTGTGTGCAAATTGGCTGCCGAGTCCACCTACAAAATACAGTCATGACACTTTGCAATGCATTCGTTGCAGCGCTTTGAGACATCATCCTGAAGTGGAAGGTGTGATATCAAATGTGAGGATTATTATTATTAGTAGTATTTGGAAGTGCTATGTAGAATGGTTAAAAATGCTTAAGGCACATGATTTCTGTGAATGTAAAATTTATTGTGAGATAAGAGTTTTACGTTTTAAACTGCAATTTGTTTTACCTTTGACCAATGTAAGTAACTCTCACCAGTCAGCTCCTTCGCAGAACAACTAATAACAGCAGGAGACACAGAGTGGGAAGTGTGTGGAAGCAAAGTGGACTTTAACCAAACAAATGCCACGTTATTCAGGTCTCTCTCTGGTTTAAAACACTCCCACATCTCATGCAAATGTGTCTGTACTGGTAATGACATTTAGCCATAATTGCTGTTGTGGCATTTTCTGCTGACCCAGTCAGCAGAACCCATCTCTTTATTTAATCTCCTTCAGATGGGAAACGTCACTGATAAATTCTAGACTACCCAATTGTTTAACAGTGTGCTTATCATTAATAATCATTGCATTTGATATAGCACTTTATCATCTGTGAGAGATGTCTCAAAGTGCTTCACAGAATATACTGTAAGGTGAGTTGACTGTATTTTTGTGGGCGAAACACAGCAGCCAATTGCACACATCAGTATCCCACAAACTGTCATGGATTCAGTTTCCAAATTATAATTTTTTTTATTACCCCTGGAAAAGTGATCCGGCAATCAATTAACAACTGGATTCCTACTTGCTGCTAGGTAAACAGAAGGTATTTAATATCAGCTTAGACGTATAATTTGTTTACTTGTCAACTTTCTCTACAAATGCTGTAACTTCCTCTTCTGTTTTTGAGGCCTTAAATTTGTTAGGCTTTGGAACCAAAGACCCAAAATGTAAGATTCGGCAGAATTTTGGAAAATTCTTAAATTTAGTCTTAACTTGGGGAGCCGAGCTTCCCACAGCTATTTTAACAGGGAGTCATAGGGCACCCAGCACTAGAGAAATACCTCACTGGAAATATAAAAGAGTCAATCATTTACAGAAGTTGGAAAGAGAGAAAAGTGGGGGAGAAGATTGAACAATTAAAAAGAAATGGAGTCCTTTCAACACTCTCAACTCTGAGTCAGACAGACCCATTGGATTCAAGCCCCATGTTGGGACTCTGAATTCACAGTCTAGGCAGACACAACAGTGAGAAGCACTGCGAGTGTGCGGCATTTGTCAGAAATGTCGTCCTTCAGATGAGATGGTAAACTAAGGTCCTGTCTAACTGAAACTTTTGGCAGCATCTAACACAAACAGGATAAATCGACAGTATTAGCAGCCAGCCACAGCTGTGGGAAACTGGGATCCAAATTAAGACAAAATTTAAGAATTTTCCAAAATTCTGCACAATCTTATATTTTAGGAATTTTGGTTCTAAAGGCTAATGAATTTCAGGCCTCAGAACAGAAGGAGGAGGAACATTAAAGGCAATATTCAAAAAGCGCAAGGGAGTTTTCCCAGTGTCCTGACTAATAAATCCCACAGATAATATTGGTCATTCACTTCGTAGCTGTTTGTGGGATATTGTTGTGCGCAAATTGACTGTTGTGTTTGCTTACACAGTCACTACACTTTACATAACTCCTGTGAATCACTTTGAGATGTTCTCTTGATGTAAAAGGTATTATTAATATTGATTGCTTTTACAAACCAACCACTGACAGCAAACCCTTTTGGGTTAATCCCATGTTTACCATTCATATCCCATACCTGCTTCTGCAGTTTCATCTCCATGGAATCATTAGTTTTCTTTTCCTTTTTAACATCTTCCTCATAAATCTTAACCTGAGGAAAGAGAAAACAAGTCTTATAATAATAATAATCCTTGCATTTGATATATGAGGATCTTGAAATAAATCTTTTCAGAGAAACAGAAACTAATTGCATAAAATGGGTTACTGTGGTCATACCTGTGCTTTAAGTAAAGTCAACTTGGATTGTAAATGCTCAATGTTTTTTTTCAGATCTTCTTTTTCCTCATTCATTCGTTCCCGATCACACCGTTCTTTCTGAAAATCTTCTTCAAAAATTTGTACCTTGGAAAGACCAAGACGTAATGTAAAAACCCTATGGATATTTAATCAATTTAATTTCATCTTGTTAAATACATATCCCTTCTTTTTTGCTCTTTGCTGTACACAGAGCAAATAATGCAAAGCTGCTTCGAGGAGACATTTAACGGCAGTCTTAAAATGAAGAAAGTTTAAATACAACAGAAAGCTTGCTTCATTTTAAGAGTGCATTGAAGGATCTGACAAATTCTGGACTGTGTCTAGACCAAACCGGAAGCCTTCCCTAACCCGTTCAATGTAATAGACACAATAAGAAAACAAGCCACTACTTTGTCCTTTATTGCAAGAGAAAACTCATACACAAAATAGACATGTAAAGAAGGTAAGTCAAAGGTCAGAGCTTTCCTTACTGAATCCATATTACCTGATGTTTCAGGACTTCAATCTGGGTCCTCATCTCATCAGAACTTGCTTTTCTCAAAGACTCTCCACTTTGAAAGCTGTGATGTAGGAATGACACTTGCTGTTTTGCCAAAGCTTCAGACAGTTTCTATAAAAAAAAGTCAAAATCAACAAAAACAAGGATTGATTTGACTACACTAGCTCATCAGAACTTGAGAAATGGTCAAGAATAGAAAGTCACACTGTAAACAGGTAAGGATACAGAGCCAGCACACGAAAACTCCAATGCCTTGATCCACTATGTAAGGGTTTTTTCAGTTATTTTCTAATGATTCGCATATACTTTTGATACAAGCCTTCGAAATGGCTGCACCGCTTTACAGTGTGAAGACCTGCAGATATTATTTAGGAAAAGAATAACTGCAATCCAATACATTCAGATTAAACAAAAATAAACAATAATAATAGTTACATAGACATGTAAAGAAGGTAAGTAATTTGGTATGGCATGTTGCACATCTGGAGGATGGCTCAAAATGCTTCATAGGAATTATTTATTGTAAAATGTATTGTAATTTCGCTCACAATTATACAATCAATTCACTTTACAATCTATTCTGTGAAGTGCTTTGAGACGTCTAGAAGATGTGAAAAGCGCTATATGAAACCACAACCTTCTGATGGATTGAGCCAGTCGGACTCCAATCACTCTCAAGGGAGCCTCTTTCATATTATCATGATCGGGTAGTTCTTTGCATCTCTGCAGTATTCTTTGCTCTATCTCGGACTAGAATTATATGTACAAGGCAGCATTTTCCTTTGCCTTCATCAGTATTACAATACAAAATTACATCCGTTCTATCAGACAGTCAGCACACTGGCTAAATGTAGTTCCTTCAGAAGAGCTTTGAGGTGATTTAATGTCAGGATAATGCACTATATCAAATGCAAAGATTATTATATTATTGTTGCTAAAGCATACAATTCTACTGTGATCACACAGATCCCAGATAATATGAACTGTAGTTATTGTACAAACCTTATTAAGGCGATCTACTTCATGTTCATAATATCTCTTTTGTTTGGTTACTGAAGCATTGTGTTCTTTCAAGCGTGTGTTCAGTTCTTTAGACTCATCTAATTCTGCATTTAGTGCCTGCTTCTTTTTCTTCAAAAGAGAAAAAAAAATTATAAACCCACAGAAGGAGAGGAGATTAGAGAGGAGCAGTTCTGGTAAAATCAAAGTAGGGATTGTGCAGCGATGCAGATAATAGTAAATAACCTGCTGCAGCATGTCAGATTCAGACAAGCTGCAATACTATCTGCTAAACAAACATGATCATTCATATTCGAACGTCAGTTTGTTTTTTGAAGGTTTCAATGGGTGAAGACGTACTTCTGCTGTTTCAAGTTTTGTTTTGGCAAAAAGCAGTTTCTTGTCAAATTCCCTCTGCTTTTGGGCTAATTTTGTCTCCAGATCATCCAGGGACCTCTGAGAAGTGGTCAATCTTTGTCTCAGCTGCAAAACCTGAAAATCAATGAGGCACCTGTTAGAACGGTAGACCAAGGACGGCTCAAGAGGGATGATTGCATCAAATTAATGTTATCCGGGTTGGGGGGGTGGTTGTGACCAAAGGCACGGTGGAAGATCTATTATGAAATGCTCAGCTTATAGCTCAATTGGGGTGTACACCCCATCGTATACCTACCCCCAAAAATCCAAAATGCAGCACACAAGAAATGACTTTGTTTTGGCTTTGGCGCATTGTAACAGAAGTAGGCCATTCAGCCCCTCGAGCCTGTTCAACCATTCAGCCTGTTCATTGCTGATTTGTACCTCAACTCTATTTATCCTTCTTTTCTCCATATCCCTTGATATCATTACCTTACAAATATCTATCAACCACTGAAAACTTACCCAATATCCTCAATATTTTGAGGGAAAGAATTCCAGAATTCCAGAATCCTTTGCATGATAAAATGCTCTCTGTTTTCACTCCTAAACTGACCTAACACTAATTTTAAGAATGTCCCCCCCGTTAATAATTTCAAACTTTCTGCCCTTCTTTTCCTTGTCAGAGGTTACACAATATCATCCTCCGTCAAGAGGCTGGCCAGGAAATTGCTCCCTGACCTTTGTGGATGCAGCTCTGTGACCTGTCATTAGGGGGCAGATGAGAGCAACATGCAACCAAAGACATAAGACAACTATTGTAACCTTGCTCTTATAACCTTTTTGATCAGAGACCTGAAATTCTACCTGGCCTCAGCCTGTGTGACTATTTGAATCTAGGCCAGTCAATAGACAAGCCTGAAGAGTGCAGGAGTAGGTCTAGTATCTATTTCCTTAAAATAAAAATACACCAGATTTGTAAAGTGGTGCATAAGTTTGCAGGATTTCTCCATGAAATAATCAGATCATCTGGACACTGCACAGGGATAAACACAGACTCACAGATATACACATACAGACATACACAAACACAGACACACAGGTACACAAACAAACACACAGTCACACACAAACACAAAGATACCAACACACACATACACTCACACACATTCACACACACACACAGAGCCAAACACTTGGAACAAGCACTGTTGCTTACCTTCTGTTCGTACTGCGCCTTCATATTCCTGAATTGCTGGTCCCACTGCTTGTTTACCTCCAGTAGCTGCCATTATAATAAATTCATTGAGCCACATCAAACAAAATGGAAACATTTCTCCATATGCACAGACCAAAGCTTAAGAGTGTTTTGGTATCTTAAAATAAAAGGAAAATAAAAACACTTGCAGGGATTTTTGGAAATGTCTCCTCTCCCACACCCAGCCAATGCGCCATGTTTATGATGTGCCAGTGATTTCACTTCCTTCACAAAATCAGCAGCACCTACTGTGTGTGCATCTAATGATGTTAGTAGAGCCTTATATGCAGTGCCCAGCAAGTGACCTGAGCTATGATCTGACAAGCCATGGTAGTCGGCCATGTTTTATTATAATAATCTTTGCATTTGATATAGCGCTTTTCACGTCTTCTTGACATTCCAAAGCGCTTCACAGAATATGCTGTAAAGTGAATTGACTGTATATTTGTGGGCAAAACGCGGCAGCCAATTGCACACAGCAGTGTCCCACAAACAGTCGTGGATTGAAACTGACCAAGTTATTATTGTTTTGTTTTTTGGAGGGATTATTATTAGGTGTGTGGAGTAAGGAAACTTGCCCAAGGTTTCGCCCTACCTGGAATTGAACCCAGGTGTCTCGCTTGCAAGGCGAGTGCTCTAACCACTGAGCTACAGGACTCCACAATATTGCGGGCAGATAACCACTGAGCTACAGAGCTCCACAATATTGCAGGCAGCCAGCTGGTCAGCGTTAGTTACACAGGTCAACATTAGATTCATACTGTTGATCATATCATTCAAATGCAATGCTGTGGTAGTTTAGCATCCTACCAGCAGCACATTAGGTTAGATCACACAGAGAACAATCCCTTTCAAAGGATAATAGATATGTGGAAGTGATTGCAGAAGTTATGATCTAATCTATAATAATAACAATCCTTGCATTTGGTTTGGTGCCTTTCATGTCAGGAGGATGTCCCAAAGCACTTCACAGGATTAACTGTGGAGTAGCTGTGCATTTGTAGATGAATGCAGCAGACCAATCATGGACACCAATGTCCGACAAACAGCCAAGAATGAATGACCAGTTCTATTTGGGGGGATTGTTGTCCAGAACATCAGGCAAAACTCCCTTCTTTTCGAAAAGTGCCATGGGATATTTAATAAACCTAAACAGGCTCGGTTTAACACCTCACCAGAAGGACGGCACCTCCGACAATACTTTGGAGTGTCAGCTCAGACTATGCGAGCTCATGTTCCAACATAGGGCTTAAATCCCCAACTTTGCTGATTGATTGCTTTTTCCTTGTTACCTGGGATATGGTTGTTTTAAAAGCTGTGGAAAACTGCCATCCAAATTAAAACGGGTTTTAAGAAATTTAAAAAATGGTTTCAAAACTATAATCATGGAGAAATCTGGGTCACCGGTATCCCAGTAGCAAAATATATTGCTAGTATTTTATTAGGGAGCATGAGATCAAAGATGGTCAGTTACTGGAAGTGAGAGACTTGGAGGAACACAATTCTAGTTCACACAATAGCCCACATCATACAAGGAAAAAGCATTTTTAAGTTCTGTAACAAATAATAATAATTCTGACATTTGATATAGCACATAATTACATTGAAAAGTTTCAAAGCACCTCACATTTTTTAAGTATAATGATTGTATTGTATGAGAATGTAGCAGCCAGTTTGCACACAGCAATGCCTAAAAAGCAGCTAGGGGGGTAAATTACCTATTTAACTGTGGTTTGTTGGCCAGGACACTGGAAGTCATTAATTTCTCTACTTAGAAAGTGCCATGGGATCTTTGGCCACAGTGTGGTTTATAAGGTTAAAGGCTAGTATGGAACACAGACAAAATCAAGCGTTGTGCCGCAAGGGCAACAACAATTCTTCAGTGTTTACTTTTTAGGTGAGTCCAGCTGAGATTTCACAGGTAAAGTAAAGTTTAATAAAGTTACCTCTTTTTTCTGATTTTCCAGAAGTGTAATCTGTCCTTCAAGTGCCTCTCTTCCATCTGTGGAACACTTTGTCTGTTTTTCAATTTCCATTCCAATTACATCCTAACAAAGAAAAAAAAGTTTTTTTTAAACTCTTCCAATTTCCAACTTGCAGGAGCTCCAATCTACCCTTGTCAGCTGTGTCATGACCAATCTGTGACTATCATCACAGGGAAGGGCAGGAGGGAATAGATGAATGAATTGCCTCTGGGCTAGCTACATTATTGACATTCATGGGAGGGGTGGGGCAGAGGTGATTCAGCTCTCCATGTTGGATTGGCGAGGCAGATCTGGATCACTCTACCTGTCTCAACATGGGATTTGGACAAATAATTGAAAAAGAAATTGTAAAAAGGGCATCAAAAAACAGCAGGGGGTAGAACTAAGTGGATAGGACTTTCATAGAGCTGGTACAAGCATAATGGGACAAACCGTGTACAGGGAAATTCTATTGAGGTTTGCAGAAATGGAGATGAGGGGATGGCACATTTTCTGGCAACCTCCAATGTGACTTAAGTTTAACCTCAGAAAAGCTATCCTAATGCTAAGAGATCAACAACTTTGAAAGAGATCAACAACTTTGAAAGAGATCAACAACTTTGGGCTACATTAACACCAGCGGTGTGCCCCTAAACCACTAGGCACTGAATTGCTAATCACTAAATGCATTTCAGTGGGAACCATAAAGCCAATAGAGAGAGGAAATGTTCACTCACTCAGTCTATGCTGAATTCAAAGCTGAACCCTGGACCAAAAAGTCATGTGCTATCCAAAATCTAATACACATATATTTTTGTTCAAACATTGATGACATTGACAAGAGAATTGCCTTGGATGAATCATTGTGCCCATATTTTACATTGTAATGACAAGATTGCTGCAGTATCTGAGAAATTGGCCAAGTGAGGTTCCAAACAGTAAATCCTGCAAGTTACCAAACCTGTGTCATTCCGACCCATGTGAACTCTGCTTTGATGCCCCCAGACGTATATTACAACAGAGCAGAGTTTCCACGGAATGGTGTGCATCATCACATCCACGTACCCTCATGAAACGTTATTTGGGCCTCCCGTTATGAATACCAATGACAATATATCCACTGACGTTTATAAGGTTCAGAATTTAAAACAGGAAATGCTTCAAATGTATCCTCATCCCAGGAGAATCAATATGTGAAAGAGTCAGGTGGGTTGTTGTTTCAAGGATGGACTCTAACCAAAAATGGAACAATTGAGATGTAGAAACCCTTTTAACAGGCTGGAAATGATCACTTTGGACCAGATCAAGAAATAAATATCTGTTACTGAGATTGCTGATCTGCCCTACTTGGTCTCCTCTGTCCGTTGACACGATCCCAGTAGACTGAGCTTTAGGGAAGAATTAGGAAACAATAGGAAGAAGGAGAACCAACAAGAAGATAAGAGAACTAAAAAAAAAAGCCTTTCATTTAGGGAAGGCATCTTGAAGTGCTTCATCAGATTTTACTGTAAAGTGTACGGAATGTGCATTTTGTAGGTGTAAAGAAAAAAAGTCTGAAGCATGAATCATCTTACAATACTGAAAGGCAGAAAGAGGAGCAGAAAGATATGACTAGAAAATCAGACACAAAAGAAATCCATAGAATCAAGTTTCTATGCAATCCACATCCCCCTATCTCTTTCCTTCTCATAAACATGGACAAAAAAATGATGTCTGCAGTATAATAATATCCATTCTTCACAGGGTGTATTTTTGATCATGAGAGTTTCAAAGGAAATTCATGGGAGAACCAAGAACAAATAAAATCAAAATAAGGAATGAGCATGAAAAAATCTGAATCTAATCTGACAACTGGATACATGAGGAACTAAGCTAGATTTAATGAGTTCAAAACAAATTTTGTTTGAATTTTTGAATTAATCAAGCTTTCCTTATAATTTTGTTCAAAGTAAAAGGATTTTTCGCAAAGCTTAACACCAATGATATGAGCAAAACATCAGCCATGCATGACATATGTTGATGGCAAGCCAGAAAACACTAATCTAGTGATATTTTGTGTAGCAATTCTGAAAGAGTTAATTACAGACACTCTCAGAATCAGGCGTATACTAGATAAGAGAAAAGATAAAATAAATGTTTTAGTTTTAAGACATTTTACCTTCTTGATCTGAGTTCACACATCTTTCAAGAATCTCTCCTTCCTGTTTCAACAGAAACCCAGTGTTTATGAATCCTGATACATTCGTTTCTTCAAAGTGGAGGTAACAACTGGAGTGTTTTAGCTACATTTGAAACACACTGCATTCTGATTTGATTCTAAGCCTGCTCACATCTAGGCTATTAAACAATCCCAGTTCCTCTATCACATTTAGAAGCACGTCACATTGCACAAATTACTATTTCAAACATTTCTGACTAATGAGAGCTATCATACAAAAATGAATGGGACTTCCCATTATGTTGCAAATGTACTATGCCTCACTCCTGTGTCAAAACCAATAGAGACAGAATGAACCACCACCTGGAAATGACACTTCCTGTATCTTACTAAAAGTCAATGTTCTCCCACAGAATCCTGCTGGGAACAAGAAAGGGAAGTATAACAAAACGGAAGACTAATGCACAGTCAGTCAGAGTAAGGCTATTAAGGTCAAGAAATCACACCCAACTAGCTTCCCTGTCAAAAGCAAAGTAAAGGGGCCTAATTTTCAAAATGCTGCCCCTTGTTGTTTGCTTGGGACTTTCATATTTGACGTAGATATCAACACAGTATCATAAAAATGACAGGATAGTAGGAAACAATTTGGCTGAGATGGTGCTGGCTCATCCACTGGAGCTGGGAGGGCCAAGTTGTGACCCTGGGGCTCCATGCCAATTGCATTACGTATGCCTAAAATAGTCACATTGGCCATCCCTGCACTGTTTCCCAGTCTCATCTGACAGTTTAAAATCTAGATATGGAGAGAGACTGGAGAGTCCTAACTAATAGGAGCAGGGGAAACAAAGGAGTTGGATACAGTAACTAGGCTTTGTTGTGATCGAGGTGAAGACAACAGGTCAAAAAGTTTCATGCAAGAGTCCATGCTAGTTCACAACAGGGATGGAGATGCAAAGCAGATTCACAGCATGGATTAGGGGACGATGGGGACACGAAATGTGGTGTAAACATAGAATGAAGGCTCGCGTTACAAAAACACTTTGCACCCATCAGAATGGGCACAGCTGTCTGCAGCCTTTCCACACATCTGTGCACAAGGGAACTTCTGTGAGTAGCAGCAATACACAGCTGATGAACAGCTCTTCCCTGTCACAGCTGCACAGTTCTGTAAGCAGGTTATTAACATCAATTGTTTCCACACATGTACTCAAAAACAAGCTGAGCATACACAACTTCAAAGGGCTTACCACTTCGATGTATACAAAGCTCTGCAGCAGGCAACATGAATAAGTTTCTTCTTTTAAAAAGTTATAATTTGAACCAAACAAATAAAATATAAAGCTGTCTGAGAACCGAGACAGAGAATGACACCTACCTGTATGAGCTTTCAATGTGAGATATAAAATACAGCGATTACTGATAGAAAGAAAACTTTCAACACTTTATGTGGGTTGAGCAGCATCATCTGTGCAGCAGCATCTTGCAGATGCAACAGCAGATGACCAAGATTTGATACTATCCTTTTTTGGAGTTTCCTCTTGGCATCTTTGCATTTACCTTAACTTCTACGGAGTGACCAAAGGAGTGATCTCTGAAGAGAGGTACCAGATTATCGGGTATCACCCTGCCCACCCTGCCATACTTCACTCACAGCAGCAAGCTTTTTTTTAAAATGAATCCAGCATCATGGCCTCAACCACCCTTTCCCTGGATAAAGAAATGCTTCCTGATGTCTGTCCTGAAATTGCCCAATGCAATCTGCGGGCTTTTGTTCTGCTATCTCCGAACAACAGCAACAAATTACATTTGTATAGTGCCTTTGCACAGAGAATTCACTCAATTCCAACATTTCATTGTCAAACATATCAACTTCAAGGAGACCCGGCCTACCTACCCACCCGCCCACCAAGGAGGATAGTCACTATTTGATCATTTGACATCGACAAGCACAGGTCTGAGCACTCACGAGGTGGATGGCAGGTACTAGGATCTCCCTGAGAACTTCTTGATGAGCAGCACAGAAATGCGTGAGAGAATTGCCACCACCCTGTTACAAAACGCTCAGAAAAATATCCCTACCCAATGAAAGATGGTTTCACCAGTTGGAAGTGCAGAGATTGAGTAGCAGCTGCTTAAATTCTGCGTAACACTTGGTGGATTCCAAGCCCTAGATATATGAAGGTACGTTCATTTGAATAAGACTGTGAGACAGAAGTAACATTTTTTCACGATAATGGGATTTGGATTAATTTTAATTTTCAAGTCAGAAAACATTGGGATCCACAACCCAATTGTGCTATAAAAGAATCTACTTTGTAGAGAAGAATATTATAATGGACTTGCCCTGTATGCGCTCAAGTGCTATTTTGAAAAGGACAACAATCTGCAGTATTCCTCCAGCACTGTTACCAAAAGGAAGGAGAATGTCCCTTTATTAATAGGATCCTTCACAGTTGATAGGGAATGTCCCCCTCTCAACCTGTCCGCTCCTTCCGCTCAGCAGGCTCTGGCCTGCTCAAGGTCTCCGAACCCAACCCGCCCTACCATCGGCGGCCAGGCTTTCAGCCTCTCTGCCCCCACTCTTTGGAACTCCATCCCAGTCCCTTTGCCTTGCTCCTTCTCTTGCCTCCTTCAAGGCACGACTCAATACCCTCCTTGTCGACTGTGTCTTCTGCTGCCCTCCTACCTCTCTGCCCTCCCTCATCCCAACCCTTCCCTCCATGATCGAGTGCTGATCCCTGACTATTTAGCGCCTTGAGATGTCCTCTCGACGTGAAAGGTGCTTTACAAATGTGATGTTGTTGTTGCTGTTTTTGTTATTTACTGATGCTCTTTGGTCATCATCTTAATGGACAGTTAAAAATTGTTTCAGTGTGTCCATCTACATTACATAGGTTTTGTGCATGACAACATGACAACTACTATTTGCTCTCCATGGGTTTATGCCACAAACTCAAGTGAAATAGTAGTTCTCCGTCATGGCAAGAAGTGAGTGCTGGATTAGTATTAGAAAATAATAAACACAAACATTAAAATAATATTTCTATCTCAGAGTTGACAGCATTAACTCTGTAAAGTGGCTTGAAGAAAAGATCAAAGCATTTGATTATACTGAAGCAGACATCTACATATGCACACATAACTTCTACATGATTAAATACTCTCTCTTGAAATTTGCATAAAACATCTTCCAGCACTTAATTCTTGCATAATAGAAAGCTGTTCTGTAATGATATAAATGAATAATTCTTTCATTTAATATAGCAACAAAGTGCCCAAATTCTTCACAGGTAAATTGCCACACAAACATAAAGCCATGAAATGAATTTATTAGTGAATTGGTTTAATGACTCATCTGGAGGACAACACCATTGACAATTAATAATTGCCTTGTTCTGTACTTAAATGTCAGTTGTCTGGACTAAAGGTGACTCAGTTATCAACTGAACCAAACTGTTATCTGAAATACAACTCATTTTCGCCCACGAACTACAGTTACTGCACTTTACAATATATCCTGTGAAGTACTTTGTGATGTCTCGACAACTTGATAAGGAGCTCTATAAAATGTAAGGATTATTATTATTAATAAACAGCTCAAGATTCCTTGAAATGAAAAGTTTTATTCCCTATTTTACAATAAAGGGGTTCCATTTTACTGTCTGTCTGTGTTAATCATACAAATTGGTACACTCACCTTCTCTATGAAGCTCTCTTCAGTGTAATTAGTTAACTGATGTGTGGAGATGATTTCAAATTCCTGTTCCATACTTCTGTTTTCCTTCTTGTTTTGCCCTTGTGCCTTAGGCTTTGTATCCAGAGTGTTACTTCTATTTAACACAAAAGGAGTTTGGCTTTCATGTCAGTTGATATAAATATGACAAAAATAGTGAATTCACTTTTGTACTTCATCATGCTATTTTTCTTTTTAGCTCAGAAGGGAAATGCACTGACCAGCAATGAGCTGAGTCATACAAACTGGGAAAATCCCAGGTTCGGCTACAAAATACCCATTAAATACTACAATTCACAGCACATCCGGTGAAGCAAAAGATATATTGTCAAATGCAAGGATTATTATTATTATTATTTTATAGTTTATGCTGAGTTAGCTGATCTCTGTCAGAGTTCAGAAGGACGCTATAGTATAATTAGTTTCAGTGCTCCTGAACTAGAAGAGTAATGGGAAAGAATTAAGCCACAATTCCTGTTTCTCATCTCTGGTTTGCAACTTTTGCTGGAAAAAGCCACCTGTGGGTGAGTAACCAGGATGAGTTCAATATTCTGCCATTATACATCATGTAGGCTCACACAGGAAGAATAGCCACTTGAAGAGGTATGGGCTATTTGTGCCCATGGAACAATCTCCAAGCATCAGACAGCATCTTCGGAATGGGAAATGGTGGGAATAAAGGCTTCTCTAAAAGTATTTATTACAACAACTTACAATTATATAGCGCCCTTCACATGAGGTAGCAGCCTGGGTTTTAAATGTACTCTTCACATATGACCTTAGGTAGTATGCGCAGTGAAGAGTCTACTGATGAAAACAATAGCATCTTCACCAGTAGACCTGACTGCAATATAGGTCCATCAATTTCCTGGGATATCCCAAAGGTTACCACAGGAAGAACTAAGTTTAATTTAATGCTAATAATTTTGCCTGATGCAAAATTGTGTATTTTATAATCATTTGCCTAAAACACTTTACAATAAATCCTGTGATGTACTTTGAGACATCCTCACGATGAGAACAGCTATATTAAGTGCAAAGATTATTATTATATTGTCTAATATTCTTTTCCATAAATTCCTAAAGACAGGGATATATGGAAAAGAATATTAGACAACAACAGCAACAAAATTACATTTATAGAGCACCATTCACAATGGGAGGATGTCCCAAGGCACTGGACAATCAGTGTCTCGGACCCGAGCTAGGGGTCGGGATCGGGGAAGATGGAGGGCAGGGGCGGTAAGGAGGGTGATCGAAGGCAGAAAACAATATTTAGTAAACATTTGTTAAACCATCCTCCAATCACTAGTACCTGTACTCAGCAAAATTGCTACCATCTATGTCGTTACAGTAATCCTAAATGGGTATGTCGTAGCCTTGCATTCCACCAAATACATTCTGCCAGGATTCAACATCTTTCCTCCCTGTAATTAGACTGAAACATAGCTCCCAATCCTGATATGAATTTTCCATCATATTTTCGACTCCAATTTTTGTCTTCTACTCAAGACCAGCATTCCATGGGTACAAAAGCCTTCTGGTACATCAGCAAAGAGGCCATTCTTGTTGCATGAACTTTGAAGGGAGTGTTGGAAAGCTATTCAATCGTAGGGAGCATCAGAGTCGAGCCCGCTCCTGTCCTCGTCTGACATAAACGCACTTGCATATTACAGCAGTTATCAGTGGATAGTGGTCAAGGCAGAGGACAAGAGATCAAAGGTTTATGGTGGAGAAGGGCAAGTTTAGGGCAGGCATCAGGTATTCTTTACATAGAGGGTAACCAAGAACTGGAATTGGTTATTAAAAAAATTTCCCAGGACAGTGGACAATTAAGAAACAATTTGGTTGGAAAATTAGACGTGTCAGTATTCTGTATGGATGAGATCACTGAAAATTCTTTTCATCTCTTGAGTATCCAGGAGTGAGAACCCTTCCTGTATTTAATAATAATAATCCTAGTATTTAATATAGCAACTTGTCACATTTTTGATCTGTCTCAAAGCGCTTTGAAGCATATACTGTAAAGTGAATTGACTACTGTGCGGGCGAAACATGGTAGCCAATTGTGCCCAGTATTGTCCCACAAACAAATGTGGGTTGAGTGATTTGCTCCTCAGCTCAGTGGCAGTGAAGCTCGTCATAGTGCCTGGCTGAGATCAGTTAACTCAGCAAAAAATGAGGGATTGAACCTGAGACTTTCTTGCCTGTATGACTTGAGTCAATGGAAGTACTGAGTCAGATTTTGTATTGAAGGGGAACTAAAGTCCAAAATTTGCTTTGTAGTACCAGAGAAAAACAGCAGCAACACACTACTTAGTACTTGTGATCTTCTTCCGGGGCACTCTGAAGGAGTTATAAGAAGGAGCCCTAAAAGTTTAGTGGGAGCAGGAGCATTGCCCTTGCCTGACAGATAACCAAGAGTTTTTATTCCCAATATTAAAACAAATAAATGAAAGCAGATTGAAGTTTTGCACATTCGTTTTCAAAGAACTACTAGAATAAAGAAATAAAAATAGTTCTTTCTCCTTCTAACAAAGACATGAAGAGCCGAATGTCCTTCTGTGCTGTAAATTTCTATGGTTTTGTAACACACTGTCTCACTTGAGCACAATAACTGTGGCCTATCTAGGGCTATTTTGGTGATGTATAACACAGGAAAAAGCCAGTTCTCCTAAAGCCAGTTGGCCTCTGGAAATTTTAGTACACACCAATGTAATACTGCATATTTGCCAGTACTACATTTCTTTGGATTCTGTTCCCAGGCCAATTCAAAGAGCCCCTGGTAAAACCAATGGACCCATTTGGGACACACAAAGCTATACATCACCAAAGTTGTGCTAGATGGACCACAGTTATTGTGCTCTAGTGAGAAAATATGTTTCAGAGAGAGAACATAATGGCCACTAGTGAAAGACAGGCCCTTACTGGCCATGGGATAACTAGCACCAGTGACAATTATATCACATATTGCATTTTCACCCCATAGAGCAGTGATAAGGGTGGCCATAATGGGCAGATTGACCTACAATTCTGTAAACATTTCTATGGATGGTAAGGAAGAATTACTTATAATGTTCTAGATATTAGGAGTAAAGGTGGATGGGGGGAAGTAAAGATGAGATTAGAAATTTACAAAAATTAAGTGGCAGGACAGGTTGATAGAGCTGTTAAAAAAGCATATTGGAGCCTTCGCTTTATAAATAGAGCCACAGAGTACAATAAAAGCAAGGAAGTTCTGCTAAACCTTTATAAGTCACTGGTTAGGCCTCAGCTGGAGTATTTTGTTAAATTCTGGGGACCAAACTATAGGAAGGATATCAAAGCCTTGGAGAGGGTGTAGAAGAGATTTAGCAGAATGGTACTAGGGATAAGTGACCTTAGTTATGTGGAGAGACGAGAGAAGCTGGGATGGTTCTCCTTAAAGCAGAGAAGGTTAGAGGAAGATTTAATAGAGGTCTTCAAAACTATGAAGGGTTTTGATAGAGTAGATAGGGATAAACTGTTTCCCCTGACAGGTGGGTCGGTCCAGGGGACATAGATTCAAGGCAATTGGCAAAAGAACCAGAAGGGAGATGAGAAGACACTTTTTTCCACAGAGTTGTTACAGTCTGGAATGTACTGCCTGAGAGGGTGGTGAAAACAGACTCAATAACAATTTCAAAAGGGGATTGGATTGGTATGAGGAAAGAGCAGGGTAGTGGGACTAAAGAGCCGGCACAGGCACAATGGGCCAAATGGCCTCCTTCTGTGCTGTAATATTCTATGATTCTATGAAAGCTTGATTATTTACAGACATCATTGAAATTTAAATGACAAGTCTTGGGGTCACTCCTGACCAGCACTATTTTTCTATAGCACGTACTATAATCTCAGTAAAATGAAAAGCACACGAACGGCAGCTAAATATTGTTGCTGCAACATGAGTGATTGAAAACTGAGGAGATGGCTGTGGTATTGTCACTCAAGAGGAACAGGCGGTCACAGGAGATCTTAATAAGAGAATTACCTGATAGACTGAAGGAGATTATAAAGGGACTAAGGACCAGTCTTCCTTACAAACCCATAATCTAATGAAGGCTCTCGCATGATGCCATAACCCACAATTAGAAAAAAAACTGAGCACAAATTGAATTCTTAACTTTAATCTTGTTCATTTTTAGTTGTAACATGTGTTGTTAATGTTGCTTCATACTCTTTTACTGTATCCAATTTATATTGATATACTGCATTCTGTGTATGTACGTGGGTGGGGTGCAGTAACCTTTGTCATGGTACTTGTCTGTAAAACTGTAACAACAACAACAACTTGGATTTATATAGTGCCCTCCATGCCGGACGGCATCTCAGAGCACTGTAAGAACACGTTCACAAGTTCTCAGGAAAGAATTTCAGTTTTATCACTATTTCAAGCATGTGTGGAGTCAATAAAGAGCAACGCTGCTGGTTATAACAGCCATCGGATAATCTCTGGAAGGAATAATATGTTGCCTGGAAAATACAACACTTTACAGTATTCAATCTGTAAAATAATTCCTAACTTGCTTTTTCCAGATACTTTTTGCATTTAAAACTGAATTCAACAATTTTCCAAATTCTGCATGTTCTGAAATGCTACATTAATAAAAAAATCTACACGCGTAAAATTTCTACACAGCACACACAAAGTTCAGCATAATGTTAGGAATTTGAACTCACAGTCCAGGTTGACACTGCAGTGCAGTGGAGGGTGGGGTGCACTGATTTATGTTGTCTCCCTGGGGAAAAGTGTGCATTAGTTTTTCTCTCCAACTCTCATTTTCTCACTCATTTTCTCGTACTTACTCACTCTTTGCCTCACACAGTTACTTTCTCACACCCTCCAAGAAGTGTAATGCAAGGGATATTGTCTTGGAACTACATGTCCTGGCAAGTCTTGCACGACCCATGTTACCCCTTCATGATGCCCTCCGGATATAGTTATTGTAGCTTGTGTGGGAGGAGCTAGGGAGTTCAGCGAGTAGGGTGTTCCAATAATCAAGCCTGGATGCAATGAAGGTGTAAATGAGAAACTCGGTAGCCAAGTGGAGAGAGGTAGTGGCAGAGAAGGGGCGATGT